GATATCAAAAAAGTACTCCAGAGTGTTGTTCAGCATGGGGGTGAGTAGAAAATGAAGGCTAATCATGTTTTGGGTGTACTATTCCTTTAAATAATATCCAAAACACTTAGACATTAAATTTTTCCTACTGTACTAAATTTAACAACAGTTAGTTTGTTTACTGTTGTACCAGTTGTGTTAAGACTTTGATATAGTTACAAAGCTTTAAAAACAAAGGTGAACTGTTATCCAAATGTAACCACTCCCAACAGAGCTCACACTGCTCCCAGTCATTATCATTTCAGAAAAGCTTTTGTTACTAATTAGCCTGACACTTCTATCCAAAGCAACCTACAAAAGAAAGATTTTAATAGTTTAAGCCTGACAAAGCAAACTTCTGCGTTTTGTTTTGTACATGCAATGCCGTGATGGAATTATCACATTTCTCACCTTGCATAGAGTAGTGTGTGAACAAGTTTCCTTCCTCAAACACAGTTACCACAGAGAACCTCTGTTTTAACTGCTGTGAGAAAGCTGTACTAATACAAGTGAAGACCATGTTTTCAAAAGCTGGCATAAAACAACTTAAAGGGGTTCTGGTTCCTGACCGCTGATGCTCTAGACTCTTCAATGCAAAACACAGACATATTTTCTGTACAATTCTGCCTTAACTAATGCTCAGAGTGGGTTGCTTTTTAAACAAAGGGAAAATTGAGAGCCTTGGGTTAATAATCATGTACTTACTATTTATTTTTTTTTTAATGATCCAATTAAAGAAACAATCACACAGGAAGTATAGCACTGTTTACTGAGGAACATTAGTGTTTTTTCAGGGAGAACTGCTGGGAATTCCACCTACCCCACATACAGGAAATAATGTAAAGACCCACAGTCTCACCTCCAGCCGTCATCTTCACTTATAAGATAAAGCTGTCAGTCAAAGTCTTCCTGACACTACTTCCTGTGTGATTATGTCTGTATAGGCCAATCAGGACTGGGCTCACAGTAGATATGTCTCCTCCTCAAATGTCAAAATCAATTTTGCTTTGCGTGAGGAGAAAATCAGCCGGAGCAGAGGCACCTTCGAGAGTGTAGCCATCTGCGAGAGAGGGCGCCATACAGAAACTCGCATATAAGTAGAACAGCGTTGTGGTGAGATCCCGAGCACACCCAGGAAGAACGGGTGCGCCCACTGAGCTGCAGTTCCCTGTGCGTGTGGGATTTTTTTCACTCTATGGTTGATGAACCGAGAGTGAAAGAAGTTTAATATACTTGAGATTATGTTTATTTTGCTCTCTAATTGATAATAACAGCTGAACTTCATTGATCTCACATTGGAGAAATGTACCTCTGCATTTAACCCAGGAGGAGCAATCAGGAGTTAAGGGTCTTGCTCAGAGAGATAGAGTGGCAGTCGGCAGGAGAGGGTTTTAAACTCACAACCTTAGGACTGCAAGCTCTATGCCCTAACCACTAGGCTCCCCTAAGGTTTTAACAAAACCATTCCCAGTCATTCCTTCAAGTCAAAAAATTAATAAAAAAAGAAAAAAAAGGGGGACTCTGACCTCATCGAGCCCTTCTTCTTCATGGAAAGTCCTTGATAGGAAAAGACAGGTTAGTGTCTTTTCCTTTTTTGTGAATAAGATAAAGTCTTTCCCAATTCGCATTGAGCCCCTGGAACAACAGAAACAAATACCACGTAACATACCAGACACATGTGTGCCAAATGCATTATATGAATATCATACAAAAAGATGAAAGTAAAGGACTCACGATTTTAATCCATTTCCGTACTGGCCAATGTGAGTGGATTCTGGAGAACGTTTGTTTGACTTTCCAAACTGGATCACGTGGGTTGCCTCAACTGTTAAAAACAAGATATTTTGGAAACACAGCAAATAGAATAAAATACTTAAAGCCAAGCCATCAAATTAAAGTCCTGCTTACTTGGGTCCATTCCAATGCCATCATCTAGGAAGCATAGCATAAAACCACCACGGAGCTCTTGTCGTTTCTCTGGAATAGAAACATAGACACAGCAATTATTAGATAATATCTGTGAGCAATTCAATGTCTAACACTGAGAAAATATTTATAAATCTACCAGTGTAGATGTCTATTCTGGTTGCACTGGCATCTCTGTAGAGAAAGAAAAAAAGGAAACAGTCAGAAAAATAAGTTATCTTGGCAGCGTCATTTTTCAGTAACTATAAAGCAAGTTGTCAAATATTGTGGTTACCTTGAGTTGTCGACAAGCTCAGCTAATGCGCCAAACAAAAACTCGTGGGTTGTTCTAAGAAAACATAATAAATGTATTAGTTAAAAAATAAGTTACAGGGGACTTTGCTCTAATAATAATTAACTGGCTTCCTTTTCTAAATTTGCAGTAAAGTCTTTGTACACCTGATTATCATCATTTTATGCAAGCAAGATCAAAAGTAGTGACACTGTGCAATGTGTCAAACAAATACTTGGTTGGCAACATATTAATGTAATTATTATTTTGCCTCTTTATTTCAGAGGTGTGCCTCTGAACATTTAAACACATTTCAAATATTTCCGAAACATAAGGCTCAGACATATACAGTAGTAGCCATTCCAAATATAACCACTTTCCTTGATGGGCTCTTGGCTGGTCCTTGACTGGTCCTCTACAATTCCTTTTTAAGCATAGATCTTTGTACCAAAATATTCTTTCTTTGCCCTTGTAGACATGCAGATCGAAACAGAAGTGTTATTTCCTGTTCAGACCCTTTAATTCAGTGAAATGGTGGAGTGAGAGTAAAGAAATATGCACGCCCATGAGAAGGCCAGTGGCTGGAAGTTAGAGGGGATTTTGATGCGATTCCACTGGCTTTTGACTGGAAAGGGCCATTTTGAGTGGCTGCTACTGTAATATTTCATTGACATAATTGAAAAGTTAATTTACTTGAGCAGTCAAACCCAAATGAACTAAACAGAGTGATGCATCTTTTCCTGCTTTTTTATTATCATAGCCTTCAGCTAATAAAAACATAAAACAAAATATTGCTATTTAAAAAATTATAATTACATAAATAATATCCATTTAACTCTTTGTAAAAGATCTATACAGTAAGCAAACTATTTGTTCAGCATCTATTGATTAAATGACTGTATCAATACATTGAAATTTTGCCTTGCTCTTGCCTTAAAATCTTCTGAAGATATCCTTATTCGATATGACTTTCCCTCCACTTAACTTTCCAACAAATTGTCTTGGCAGAATCATTATTTGACCTCACAGCTTTTTGTTTTTGCTAAAATTAGGCCCTGTGGTATAACCGCCCTCGTTAGGTGTTCATAATGTTTTAGTTAATGTATATTTACAAGGTAAGAGTTTCAAATTTTGAAATTAACTTGAAAACAGCTGCACTTTTAAAACAATATTCTAAACCTCAGAGAAGAGCTTGTGCACAAACTAAATCAAGATGGAAATGGGGCTTGTTGGAAAAGCCTAAATTTGGATTTGTGTTATAAAGTTGAAATATATGCATAACTGTCTGCACTCCAAACAGTGTAGAGCTTCAAACATGCTTCTAGCAGACTCTGAGCTCACACAAAATTAACGTTTTCTTTTGGACTAGCCTACAATAAATAAAAAAAACTTCCACTTCTTCATCGCAATCTCTCCTCTATTATGTTTAGGACTAGAACAATTAATCGAATAAATCGATTATTGAAAAAATCGTAGATTAATTTAGTCATCGATTAATCGTCTACTGGTGTACGGAGACAGTAAAACACACCTTTAACTGACAGACAGACCCGCTTAGAGCAGTAATTAGGGCTGCAACTAATGATTATTTTTTGTGAATTGATCAATCTTTTTTTAGAATGATCTTGAACAGCCAAAGGGTCTGTCAGGTCTAAGCACCTAAAACATCCTACATACGTACAGGGAAAGAAAAAGGCACAGAGACATTTAGTTAAGTTTTACTCGCGAGAAAAGTAGTAAGGGACCACACAGTTAGAGATCGAAACAGCACTCTGGCGGTCTCTGCGTCCTCCTCGCAATTTATTGAAATCAGGCTCGCAGTCTCAGTAAATATGTCCTCTAAATCTCAGGGTTCAGTCAAAGTTTAACTTGTTGCAGCACGTTTAGTGCTGCTTGTAAATCAACCACAACCTCCCCAAAAGCAAGTCCACAAATCACAGTGTACTTTAGAAAAGGTGGCTATGATTACATGCACATAGCACACAGCTTTATGCATTATAACACTACACTGATACATTTATATACAATTATTCTAACAGGTTCCTTGAAGAATATTTATTTTTACGTAATTAAACCGAAACAAAAACCTTTCCCCTTGAGGAGTTCTGGATAAAGCATATTAACAGACAAAAAGGTTTTTTTTCATCTTAAAGGCATATTTTTTATGCATTTTTTTTTTGAATTTTTATATAATTATTACTGTAATTGGTTTGCTCGTCAACTAAAGGCATGGTTTAAGCCGGGCTTACACTGTGCGATTTTTTTTCCCTTTTCAGGGCGACTTTCCAGTTGTGTGAGAATTTTCCAACCAGGCCGAATTCAGCACTATCGTGTAGTGTACAGGGGCGAACAAGGAGCAATCAGCTTCTCATGACCACCTCGCGATCAGGAATTGTGAGGTCGGGAGAAAATCAAACATGTTTGATTGTCGTATTCAAATCGCTCAGTTAGCATGTGCAAACAAGGATTCTTATTCTTCCTCTCAGACAAAAACACAGAAGCATGGCGGGGTGCAAGTGTATGGAAATCTTTCTGTAAAACGAGCTTGAGAAGCACCATCTCAATGCGGAGCTCAGTCCGACGTGGTTCTTAGACGCACAGTGTGAGCAGGTAGATAGCATCAGAGCGTTGTGCTGCACAATGTGAGAACATACAGTGTGCGCTGTAGCTGTGTGCAACAACTGAAAAAAATCGCAGAGTGTATGCCCGGCTTTAGGGTCTCTATGCTCCAGTTGAAGATTAATCGATTACTAGATTAGTTGACAATTATTTGAATAATCGATTAAGCAGATTGTTTGAGCTCAAACAGTAATTATATCAAAACTGTAAAAAAAAATATATATATATATTTATATATATATATATATATATATATAAATACATAAATAAGTTTTAGTATAACCTGAATTAATTTCACAAGAAAAATCTTTACGTAACCTTTTGCTATCTGATTGTTAATAGCTTACTTGAAAAAATAATTAACATGCTAATCGATTTGCAAAAATATTCTTTAGTAGTAGCCCTAATTAGGTTAGAGTAAAATGTCTTCCTTTTCTGGTAGGATGCATTTAATCTGCATTAAAAACTTAAGACTTCAAACAAATCAAATAAGTCTGGTTCTGCTTAAGCTTTGAGTTGAAATGAACATGTAAACTGATTATACTTACGAGTTTGTGTGCAGGTACTCAAAGGTAAGCTGAGCCCTGCTAAGGTTGCTGTAGCTAGAGTAAGCCATTGCACCTCAAAGTTATGCTCTACTTCCTTCCTGGTCTCCTGTTAGTATTCTTCCTGACCAAACCAGCTCTAGTCAAAAGCTTTCATCCTGGAAAGGGGGAGATAAATGCCATCATTAAGTATTTAATTGCACATATTCTTAAAATAATCAACTGACAGCCCAACGAACGCTAACATTGACTTAGATAGACAATACATCACAATAAGCACTTACATGAAAGTCTCCCTGCAGAAGGTAACGCGGATAGACCACGTGGGAGGCCTGTTGAAGAACAACAAGATGTTGTGTCTCGGTCAGTGAGCGCCTTCGTATCCAGTCCTGCTAACACGTTTCAATGTACATTTCTAAAAGCAGCTAACGGACGAGCTAGGCTTCCATTAACCAACGTGAAGTCATGTTGATTGGGCAATATATGATATGAACGGTTTACCGTAAGGAATCAGTTACTGCTAACATTTACCAGTTGGTTGAAATAATGGCTAAAAGGCGTTAGCATTCCTTTACTGTTTATAACGAAACATGCTACTAGCTAGCCTTAAACGGACATTACTCGAGTCATAAAACGTTGACCAAATATGCAGGTCGCTCCGGTATAACGGTGACCTAAATTTGTAATAATCACAATTTTTGGGAATAGATACTTTGTAACTTTACTGTATTCGTCTCCTAGGCATAAACCAATCCCACAGGCCGCGTAAAATCCAGTTTCTTCGTCGCCGATGGTTGATTCCCCTGTATCGCCCTGACAATGCAAAAACCCCGCCTCCGCTTTTCCACCGACCAATAGGAAAGCACCATGACACCAGTCTCAACAATCATTGGTGGAGCCGGCTGTCGACGTAAACATCACATACGTTGAAACGCACCTGTGGGCCTCAATGTAACACTAACCCCCCCTAAAGACAAATCTTAAAATGAAAGATAACGTCAAAAATTGACGTTCTTTGGTGCAGTTTTAATCAATAAGCGCTTAAAGTTAGGGTCGCTTTATAATGCGAAAACAAGACACCAAATTTGCTATTGGACCATGGTTCTCAGCTTTGTTTCTCAAACTATGGTGGTATTTGTAACAACTCTATAGATAGCGGGCTAACGTGAACCAAGTAAAAAGTAATATAGTTCTAATAAAATAAAACAGATGAAATAAGATGCAGCTCAAGCAGGCTGGAAAAGTCTGGAATTTGAATTCTGTGTTTTTCAGGTAATTTTAAGTATTGAAAAAAAAAGCTGGCAACAATGTTTTCCAGTCTTTATTCTCTATCTCATCAATTTCTTTTGCCTTTTCACTGGGTATACCTAATTTGCCATCCTTTATTCCTTCCATTTCTGCCTGTCTTTATTATTAATAACCTTCATTTCAAGCCTTTTCCCTTTTTCTTTTATCTTCTTTCTCAGGTGCTCCCTTTAACCTCTTCCTTGTGTGCCTCCTGCTTTTATTATCTTCCTAATACTCTGTCCATGCGTTTTATCACCACTCCTTACGTTTCCTTTCTTCTGATGATGTGTGAGTTTATTACACAATAATATTCCCTGCCTGTTGCGGGTCAGAATGAATGTTTTCCCCAGTAGTTTATCTAACAAGGACAGTTCCTGTGTCTGCATATACAGTTATCTTCATTCTGTACGTGACAAAGAGCTAAGAGTGTAATATTTTGATATGGCTGGAGCCATGGATGTCTCCTCCTCTGCAAACATGTATGATGTAATGATGTGGCAGACTGGAGTTGTGTAAAATGATTCTGTAATGATGAATCAGGGCCACTTCACGAGAAGTGAGCCTGGTTGGTAAGCAGCTGCCTTCTGTAACTCTAAGCAAGCTCTCTGATCAGAGTAAGATTACAATTTCTCTTAAATTTTTGTCTTGTTTCATGGTTATTTAATATATATACATTATGAGGTGTTAAAGAGTTTGTCCTGATTTCTTTTCAGGAAAAAGAACCGCAGAGAGAAAGCTTCATGGTGTAGACACAGAGAGTTCCTTTAACACCTCCTTTATTTCCACTCCTTTCCTTCCCTACATCGTGTAAATCTCTTCATGTTATCCTTTCTTTCTCTCTAAATACAAACTTCAACTTGACCATCCTCCCTTCCCTTTGCCATGTTTCCATGATTCTCTGGATTTTTCTATTTTTTTCACCCAGGTTCTATGTTTAAAATCTGCCAACTGTAAAAAATTCTGCTTTAAAATGTTAATGTAATGCAGTATTTTATAACTGAAACTGAGTATACAATATTTTCATCACTGACAAAGGGAAAAAAGGATGAAAACTTTTTACACCATTTCTGCTTGTTATGCCCCTTTTTCAGAATTTGAAGAAGAAACAGAAGCTGAAAACACAACTAAGAAAAAGTTTTGGTGGCTTCCATGCTATATTATGTTAAGACTTAGATCCAACAAACTGAATCAAGCCCATTTAATCATGGGTCAGTTATAATCTGGACTGTTAGGGGCTCAAGAGTTCGTACAACTTGAAAAGGGTAAATATTGATAGCAATACTTCAACCAGGTTTTGCACTGCCACAGGGTAAGTATTGATGCAAAAAAGCATTTAAGGAGTCTTCGCTAACAAAGTTTGTATACATATTTATGTGCGGGGAAAGAATAAGAGATGAAACGGCCAAAAAAAATATACATGACAGCACTAGTAAAGGTTGCCAAATGTGGAAAATTTAGTTTATTTGGGTCCCATCAGATTCATATAAAAAAAAAAAAAAAAATCAAAACATTCATTCACTTTAACATTCAAACACTGAATTTTCTTTGTAAAGTCTTTAGACACAAATACTTAATTAAACCAACACCCAAAAAGAAATATACACAAACATGGAATTATTTTGTTATATTGAAAATTCAAATTAAAGGTAGATAACATTATGTGAGGAACCATCTCCTTACTATGCTCCTTACTATGCATTACAACTGGTATTTTTTTTTGTAAATGTTATATATAAATGTTATATATATCATAAATCTCCTAAAATCCCAGTCAGTATGAGTCAAGCTGGATTTTTTTTAAAGCTTTGATATAAATAATTTATTTGGGATATGAGATCACATTTGTCACAAGGTGAACTATGTAAACCAGGGTGTGGTAAAAGCACGCAAGGATGGGGAACTAAAAAGATTTGAAATATTTCACTTTCATCTAATAAATACTTTCTTCAATGTGCCAGTCAAAAACATTTCTTCAGCTTTCAATCAAGGGTTCCTGTAAAAAAAAAAAAACAGTACAGAAGTTCAATCAGTTTCTCCTCATGCATATAATATGCACCATGCAACTATAATTGATCAACAATTGATTTTAAAGACAAAGTTATGAAAGCTAATTATTATAAGTAATGCACGTTACGTTTTGGCTGTCTGGTGCTTGTAGATATTCTCGATGTGCAACGTTATTCTTCAAGCTTGCAGCTAAACACAGAAACAAACAAACACCAACCAGGCAGACACTGACTTCAACCAGATGTTGCACTGCCACACTCTGTTCTTCCTAGAATGATACAAATGGGAGAATTGTTGAAAGGGAGACATATAGAATTGAATGGTATTAATGAAGAAATAGGAATGTTCTTGAAGAATGAATCTACGTACCAGAGTTAACATGACAGTCAGTGCAGGGTCTTTCTTAAAGTGGAGGCTGTAGCAGGTTTTAGACACTGCTGGAAGCTCATTGGTCACTTCCACTGGGATGCCTGAAATATTTGTCTCTAATGAAGAGCACCTTGGAGGGAGTTGTTGTGCACAGGAGATTGTATATTAAAAAAAAAAAAAAAAAAAAAAAAAAAAAAAAAAAAAAAACAGTCAACAAAAAACACAGTATTGACCCAGCTGGTGAAAAAGCAGCAAATAAATAAATTTAATTTGAATACATTTAGTTATTGGTAAATAAAACCAGTGTGAGGAAGTAACTCTTAACAAAATCAATGGGGTCAAGTGGTTGATTTTGTGTTTTTGACTTATGAAATATACAATGAGGTCCTTTTTTTAGGTTTTCTAAAAGAGGGTTACAGTTTCTTTAATCTTAAATTTAGTAGAAAGACAGACCCACATCATCACAGGCCCCCCGCCATACTTAACAACGGATGACTTGAGCTTTCTCATATCAACCCACATATATCTTTTGATTTACGCCAGACCAACATTGAATCATTTTTGTACAAATGCTTAATTTTAGAGTAACTTTAGAATTGCCCAAAAGTGTACAAAATAGAGAGAAAACATAACCTGTAAGAAAAAAATTACGTTTGAATTTGTGATAGAACAGTTAATATTTTTTCACCGGGCATCACACCCAAACAGCATGTAAATTGCCATAGAGAGCTGGCCAATCCAAAATGCCCACTTTTGGATTCAGGGTTGTACACCAAGGTAAGCAACCTGCAGAATGTTTTGGCATGACCTCAGACATATTTCATCTGTGATATCATCTGGTCCTGCTTAAATCAGTGATAACCCAGCATAGATGCACACGAACAAGATGGAGGAGAGGACTCTCTGCAGTCCTCATAGACATATTTTGGTTCTTTGTGTCCCTCGCTGAGGACTTCTCTCTTTTACTTATGTCCCACAGCAATCTCAAGTCAAAACAGCCTTTTCTCATGGTCTCCATTAAAATGTTATAGACTTTTCCAGACATGGCTAAATTTAGATGAATAGCTAAATTCTTGAAGCCATTGCCTGACATGTGAAGATAAAAAACACACCTGTCTAAGTGAAAATGGCATATTGCTTGTCGGTTTAATTTTGAGGAGCAACTAAGAGAAATTTGACTTTAATTTCTTACATTCATAACCAGTGTTGGGACTACCATGTTATTAAAAAAACCTTTTACAGTAACTGTTAATTTGTCTGTCAATAGCACTGTTACTAATTAGCTTGTAAAAGTCAAGAATGTGTTATTCATTTTTGCACTTTAAAAACATTTGTTATTTGTTACTTAAGATGACCACCATCAGCAATGTAAACAACTTCAGCATGCTTGAACAGAGCGCAGACGATGGCGCCCAGCCACTGATTCAATGAGAGCGTTTCTGCAGAAATAGCGCTCAGTCAAGTGAAAGTCTAAATATTTTGGTGATTATAAATGTTGGTTCAGGGCTGTAATTTAAAGACCCTCTTCACATCACCTTAGCACTGACTGACAGCTGGCTGCATCTAATCAACACATCCTTACTTTCTCAGGGCTATACTGATTTTACTTTCATGTTTTATGGGTTTTCACACAATTATACTGAGATCATACAGTCCTACTAGGATTTTCTTTCTGGAATACTGTAACCCTGTTTAATTCTATTGCAAAGTATATTTTATTTTTGTTCAATTGCTCCAAAAGCATTATTTTTCAGCTTCATACCTATTTATATCCAATTGATAGCTGTCAATATGCAAAAACATAAAGTTCTAAAAGATCTTATTTTTCTTTTATTATAAACAAAAAACACAATCACATCTACATAAGTATATTGCAACTCTTCAAACCACGCACACCAAAATAGTGCAGATTAGTATTCAATGCTTTCAGATGTGTAGTCCTTTTAATTAACTTTTTATTTATTAATTATTAATAAACATCTTATATTTTACAATTGAACCTCTAGCTGTATTCAAAGTTCCCAAAACAAGAAACGTATCCAAATTCTTTGACACTGTAGACCGTAAAAAGTAAATGCCTAATTACTTTCAATGATCTAAAGTAATCATAGAGTTACTGGCAAGTAACAGGCTACTTTGCCTGAACAGTAACTGAGTTACTAACTTACTTTTTTTCCTTACTTACTTTTTTGAGAAGTGACTATGACTAGTTTAATTTTTTTAAGGAAAATTCCCAACACAGAGATTTAGTTAAAACAGCCCTTAAAATGACATATGTTTTGCACTGAATGAACATACTCAAGTTAAAATTTGTATTTTTTGAAAAAACGTCTATGTTAACTTAAGTAATAAACCACAGCGAGGACTATTACAAAATATTGATGTGAAGTAATCTTTGTAAAAAACTTACAGAATCATTGGCAGGATGTTGGTTGGGGCACTTATAGTGAGGCACACGTGTTTGTTGTCTTCAGATATTATCTCCAATGTTAAATTAACAAGTTCTTTGTCTAGAAAAAAAAACTTTTGTTAAATAAGCAAAGATTCTTGCCAATCCAAAATGACTGAGAATATAAAACTACCTCCAAGATTAAGCTGACTGGCTGTGAAAGTTGTGAATAAACTAATATCTTCTAGCGTGGCACTTGATGAGGGAATCACAGTCAGGGGAACACGAAGATGCAAAACAGTGACTGAAGAAGGATGCTGGGTTATATTCAATGATGTTTTAAGATCATTTTCCTCCTTTGTTTGCAGTGGAGGCTTAAAAGAGATGTGAAAAGGAGAACTCATATTTTCCTTCTCGCATAAGTGAAACTGTGAGAGAGATGAGAGTAGAATGTTCCAGTCCTGCAAGACGAAGAATAAAAAAAGATTGTTAGAGTAAAACCTTGACCAGCTCTGGAAGAGCTGTTAGAGTAATCTTACAACTGTAAATCATATTCACATAAATTTCAATGGCAAAGAACAAAAAATGGATTATCTGGAAAAGTCTAAGTTAAAAAAAAAAATTAAAAAATGAATAAAATAATGCAAAAAATATATAATTAACAGAATGACCTTTAATGCATGCAGGCATTTGTAAGTTAGATTCCTCCTTTATCACCATAAAATAATTTGAAATATTATCCAATGTTCAGCATAAATTTAGTTAAATGGACACTTACCTTTGCTATATCAGGGTTAGGTAGAGTATGAGAGTAGCTGTAAGAGCTGATAACAATGAATGAGAACGCAAGAGTTAAGAGGCAAAGAAAGAAAGTAGCCACTGGAGGGTTATGGGATGCATATTCTTTGAGGCTAGAGCCTCGCTGCCAGCACCTCATCCTCAGGACTCCATACACAGCTGGGATACTTTACACTACAAACAGAAAAGTATGAAGACAGAAAAATGTTTATATGAATATAATTGTTTATCCCAAACTATACGGTTCTGATTATCGTTATTCCTATTTGGAGCTTAAACTTTACTAAAATTAACTACCGTAAATAATATATTAGAATATCAATTCCATGGTGTAAATAACAAAACAACCAGTAAACACAGCCAGAGGAGGTTCTTGCAGGAATGGTAACATAAGCAAGCCCCTTCTTCTGGAAAACCAAACAAAATTAAAATGTCAGCAGTTCTATAGACTTTTATTTTTTATTTTTCCAGAATTAAGAATATAAAAGTCTATTATCGTACATATACACCACTGTATTTGCATAAATATGTATAATAAATCTGTTCAGGGCACAATTGACTATTTAGTTACTTTTTCTGTTGTTTTTTTTAGTTTCTTATTTTTTATTTGATGTTGCCCTGGGCAACTGCCCATAAAGCCCAAATTTAAAAGCACCAGAACACATCTCACATCAAATGGCATCATCAAACTGGTTTCAGAAGCAAAACAAGTTAATGGAGGAGAATCAAAGTTAAGAGTGTTTGGGCCAGATAGAAATGGAAGCATTAGCGTCTCAAAAAGTAAATAGCTCGATAACAGAAGGGTTTGTTATTGTAGCGCGTCACAGATGTCGCAACTAGACACGAAGACACTGTCAAAAACAAAACAATTATATGGCTTTTTTGATTGAAGACAACGAGCTTTTAAAACATGTTACTGGGGAAAACACATCAAAGTTCTACTCGCACGCTGTTTCTGAGCGAAAACGCATTGAGAAATCAGTGTTGTCAGTAAACTTTTCTGCCGTATGGAGGACGTATACTTGGCAAAACACTCGGCAGATTCAAGCTGTAGCCTACTGTTTAAAGTATTATGCTGCTACCTAATTAGCCATGAACGACACGTCCATACCTTGAAATAATGATGTCAGATCATTCCAGATATCCCGAGGTCTGTTTGCACAGCATCTAAATCAAAATCTCATGTTAATAACTACAACTTCTGTTGTAATATACACACTGCGGAAATGACAGCACACATCACGACAGTTTTACCAGTTTACGACTATACATTAACATGACGACTGCCATTACGTAAGTGACCTGTCATAGTCAATCTAAAGTGTTTCCAACTCTTCATTGTCTTAGTGCATATATATATATATATATATATATATATATATATATATATATATATATATATACATATATATATATATATATATATACATATACCTATATATATACATATATATATATATGTATATATACTCACATCCTCTCCACAACACACTGGTCCAGCAGACGAGCTCCTTCAGCAGAAGACTCCTCCTACCCAGATGC